TTGGGTTAAGAGCAAGGACGCTGGGTGCCGAAGGGGGGTGGATTGAGGGGTCCCACGTCGATTGGAGAAGGGAATGAGTGTCAACGAGGACGCTGGGTCCCAAAGGGGGTAGATTGTGAGATCCCACATCGATTGGGAAGAAGAATGAAGTATTCTATATAAGGGTGTGGAACCCTCTTCCCAGCAAACGCGTTTTAAAAACTTTGAGGCGAAACCCAAAAGGGAAAGCCCAAAGAGGACAATATCGACTAGTGTGAGCTTGGGCTTGGGCTTGGGCTATTACAGCAACACTCTTTGTAACATAGAACAGCATGAAAGCATAAACCTCGATAAATTTTTTAGGAACTTACGACAGTTCTTTTGCTATACGCTCAAGAGATGTCAAGTTACACAATTCAAGGGAAACTACGAAAATAAAATAACAAACCTTAGTTTTTCCACAGGAAGACAGCCCAGATCAATGTTGCATACAGGACAACAATCAACCTCCTCGTCTGAGAGTTTCTCATATATGCACTTCCTGCAAACTGTGTGCAACCAGAACTTAAAATGTATTAGAAAGCTAGCATTCGATGTCGCCAATGAATGAGTTTTAGTAAGTTGGGGGACGTTCGCTAGATAAATTCACACAAGTTACGAACAAATGCAAGTATCAATAAGCATGAGGGACCATTCACAGTTTGCAGATATAAAAATACTTATCATAACGGGTAAACAATCTCTTTTAAGGACACGTTTGATGAAGTTTTTTGTTTCGGTTTTCGGTTTTCATAAATTAAGTTTATTTACCAACAAGCCCCCTTTGTAATTTTGGAAAAATAAGAAACTTTTGTTTTCAAAAATATGTTTTTTGTTTCTAAACGCGTGTGCTAAAGAGAGGTTTCTACACCCTTATAAAGAATGTTTCATTCTCCTCCTCAACCAACGTGGGATTCCACAATCCACCCTCCTTCAGAGCCAAGTGTCCTTGTTGGCACTTGTTCCCCTCTTCAATCGATGTGGGACCTCACAGTCCACCCCCTTCGGGGCTCAGCATCCTTGCTAACACACCGTCTCGTGTCTACCCCCTTCGAGGCTCAACCTCCTTGCTAGCACATCGCCCGGTGTTTGGCTCTGATATCGTTTGCAGCGGCTCAATCCCACCGCTAGCAAATAGTCTTCTTTGGGCTTTCCCTTTCAGCCTTCCTCTCAAGATTTTTAAAACGCGTCTACTAGGGAGAGGTTTCCACACCCTTATAAAGAATGCTTCGTTCTCCTCCCCAACCGAGGTGAAATCTCACACCTTCCCAAATGGGGTCTATACTTTTCAAAACTAAAAAGTCCTAAGAAAAACACAGGGAAGTCCGACCATCCCATTTGTAGCAGACGCCTCAAGTAGCCAGAGAACCCAATTCAATGCAATAACATCGTATGGCATGTCAATACACAAAGCACAGAACACGATCGTCCGAAAACATACGCCTTATAGAAACATGCGACCGTTTTAGATAGTTTTCAAGAATCCCAAACATATTAGATATTCACGTAGAGTTCTCAATCTCTTGATGTTCAGATAAGCAAACACAGAGACCAGAAATCTAGATACAAAGATCAACAGCAGAGATTATAACATGCATAGAACCTTTGATCTAAAGAGTTCATATCTGTAGAAGATTAGGATTAATAATACATCATTAAAACATTCATATTAAGTATCTTCTTTAAAATGAACTGTTAAGTTACTGGAGTAGAATGCATATCAACTGGAATCACAATTCAGTGAACTTGGGACTATGAATCTGTTCAAAATTTGAATCCTTGTAATGTAAACAAGTGATCAGTAAACTGTTCTAAGAAGACAGGAAAAAGAGGCATGAGAAATAGGAGAATTGGGGAAGAGAAGATGAACTATAAACACAGAAATTGATCCAAATGTCATGAAAAGAGAATCAAAACCACAAGGAGAAACACTTTTTACCACATCAAACAGCTAAAAGGCATCAGAAGGAGAGAAATTGGCAGTAACCCAAATCATAAAACAGCTAAAAGTGAAGAACCCAAGAAGGGGAAACACATGCAGAACAAAAAGAAACAAAAGAGACACAAATGGAAGGAAAGAACGGCTAAAAGAGCCATTGAGGAAAAAGAAGAACTTACACGTGTGAAGGCAAAGAGATATGGTAGTAGCCTCCTTCAAGAGCTTCTTACAAAGAGGGCACGTCATGCATGCTTCAAGCGTTTCCCTCTTCACTCTCACCACCTGACCCGCCATAGCCACACCCCTTTTTCTCTACACCCTTTCTCTATACCACATTGAACAAAACACACAATATTGCAAATCCACGCAGAATCAGGCGCAGATTTTGAAGGGCAACGTTTTGATTGACTTAAACGTCTAGAAACTACGGATCTGAGGGCGAATGCGAGAGAAAAGGGATTTTTGGGGAAATTCAGAGATGGGTTATGGTCCGAATGGGAAAAAATTACGTGGGGTTCGATTCTTGGTTTGATTTTGGACACGAAAGGTACAGGGGAAGGGGAAGGTTTGAGGTTTCGATGAAATAGCATGGTCTTTAGGAGATTATAGATGTGTATATATATATATATAGCGAGATATAGATATAGATATACGCAGAAAAGGGAAGCGGGGGGGGCAGTGTCTGGCAGATTTGTGCATTGTTTTGAGGAAAAACGTGAGTTGGTGATCGAGTTGGAGAGTGAGTTGGGGTTCGAGTTTGGTAATTTGGTAGAGAAAATGAATAAATTGCCCTGCCCACGTTATCCAACCAACCCTATTCATAAATTTCATAATTGTATTCATTTTGTTTCTTATCTTTTTCAAAAAAAAACATCTATTTAATTTAAATTTTTGTATTCATATCGATCAATTGCACGTGTACTTTCAAAACATCTATTTTATCTTTAAAAATAATTTCATTTTTTGTGACTACGAGCAAAATTTTGTTTTTCTATACACACTTAATAGTATATGCCTCAAATAAATCCAACGAGTAACTAATAATCCTGTTATACAGAAAAAAGTAACTATCATGCCCTTTTCTGAGTAAGCATAGAGTCTTACGGTTTCATAGACTAATAAGGTTATCAAATGAATTGTAATGACAGTTGAAATGACCGAAAAAGATAATGAATTAATATATGCTCTAAAGTTGAAAATATCATTAAAAAAAATTTAAAATGTCTGTCAATTCAATTATTTAAATTAATATTGGGGATGTGAATTAATTATATTATAGAATTTGTTTTATAAATTATGTTGAAAATGTAATTAGAAATAAAGAAAATAAAAAGTAAACCATAATATAATTTCAAAATGAATAAAAATGATATTATCGAGACCAAAATGAATATCGTAAATTGAGTATTTTATGGAAATGAAAATATTGAGCTTAGATTTTTTTTTTTTTTTTTTTTTTTTTTTTTTTTTTTTTTTTTTTTTTTTTTTTTTTTTTTTTTTTTTTTTT